TCTGTATCTGTATCTGTATCTGTATCTGTATCTGTATCTGTATCTGTTTGTCTCTGTATCTATCTATCTATCTATCTATCTATCTGCATACCTATCTCTCTATCTCTCTATCATCTAATGCAAAACACCCCACAGAAACTACTTCAGCAAAGACCACCAGTGAAGAACTCCACATCACCAAATCCAGTGGTCACTTCCCTTTTCTCACCTCACTCAACCTCTCAGTAGTATTTGGTTCAGTTACCTATTTCTACCTTTTAAAAACCTGGTTTTCCCTTCTGGCTCACCAGCTACCTGTGTCAATCTCAGGGCTCTGTCTCAGAACTTCTTTCCATCTACACCCCAAGCCCATCTGAATTTACAGAGTCCCATGAATTTAAACACTGTGGATACGCTGATCGTCTTCACATCTGTATCTCCTGGCCTGACTTCTAGAATTATACAGGCAATATGCTAGGTATGTCCTCGTGAAAGTCTAAATTGAATAGAGCAGAAATACAACTCCTGATTACCATTCCCTCAAACACCTGTTCACATCTCCCCAAACTCAGTAAATGGCACCACTGTTTGTTAACCTGCTAGAGCAAAAGCCCAGAAAGCAGTCTTGAGTCCTCCTTTCCCATAACTGGCACTCCTGTGCAACTTATTTAAGTTCACAGTAGCTGCATCAGCTCTCTCCTCCAAAACGTGCCCTGAATCCACATGTTTCTGCCTTGCAGAGCTGCAGCCTCTGTCTCTTCTCCCCCAGTGTATTTAAATCACCTTCCAGCTGGAGTTCCTGCTCTATGCCCCAGTCTCCCCAAACCTATTTGGGAGGCAGTAGCCAAAGTGATTCTTATAAATATTATAGAGAATTGCATACTTCACTTAAAATAAAATTGAGACTCCTTTCCAGCAAGTAGAATTTCTTATTGGAGGTTCCTTGCCAACCTCTTCAAATTCCTTTTAGTTCTTCCAGCCCTTAGAGGCCATCTTGCTGTTCCTGGAACATGCCAGGCTTTTTCTACCACAGGGCCTTTGCACTTTCTGTTCCCTAGGCACAGAACAGCTTTTCCAGCTTTTCCAAGAATTTACAGAGTTACTTCCTTTAGCCAGTGCAATTCCAATTCTGATGCCACCTCTTTAGAGAAGTCCACTTTTCTTAAAATGTTATTTATTTATTTTGAGAGAGAGAGAAGGAGAGAACACATGTGCATGAGTGGGAGAGGGGCAGAGAGAGAGAGAGAGAGAGAGAGAGAGAGAGAGAGAATCCAAAGTAGGCTCCACTCTGTCGGCATAAAGCCCTATGTGGGGCTCAGTCTCAGGAACCATGAGATCATAGCCTGAGCAGAAATCAAGAGTCAGACACTTAACTGACTGAGCCACCCAAGTGCCCCCAGAGAAGTCCACTTTAATTGCCCTTCTAAAGTCTCCTGCCCTACTTCCTGTGTATCAGCTGTTATCCCCTGGCTATATGCTGTGCCTTTATTTTCTTCGTGGTTCCTCTCACAAAACAGAATCTTGTTTGTTTGTTTTGGTTTACTTGTTTGTTGTTTGCCTCTCCAAAGCCCTGCACCAGAATGTAAGTGCCGTGAGAGTAGGCACCTTGTCTATTAAGTCTCAGGACCTAATAGGCAGAAATAGGTATTTAGGAATGAATGGATACATATATCAGTCCAGTCTCAGCATGGGCAACCATGTAATTCACCTGAAATTACTTGCTGTTCATAACACCCATTGTAGTTTCTAGGGAACTGTTTTTCTCCCCACACCATGGGCTCATAAACCTTTTTGTCAAAAATCCATTTGAGTATGTTGCTAAAGATTGGTGGAAAACTTACAGTTCTATAATTTCTTAAGACTTAAAGTTTTAACTGTTTTGGAAATATCTGCATATT